CTAGGTTAGATCCTGTACCTCTGTCCATCCATCCATCCATCCATCCATCCATGTAGGTCCTTCACTGGTGTGATATTCCTTTTCTAAAACAGAAAAAAAAAACTAAACGAATATGTCTAATGGCCATTCCTGCTATATGCATGCTTAATAAAAAAGTTTTTAAAAATTTTTTCAAGGAAATAAGAAAAGTATTATACACAGTTTTTGGGCCATGTAAACACTGAAATGCTTTAGAAATGGGCTGTCTTAGGGTGGAGCCCAGACAGAGACTTAACAGGCTCTGCTCAACTAGCATCTAGTATGGTCTGGTAGTAGCAGCTCATCTAGGTCAAAAGGCTGAAGAACCCATTTAGCATACCAAAGAGGACCTGGCCGCCAGCTTCTCCCCATCCCTCGGTCCCCACCTACTACAGGGCCCTCCAGGCCGCCATTCTAGAACTGCCTTCTCCAGCCAGTTCTAGTGAACTCTCCAGCCCAGAGGCCTGGCCTGCTCTTCCCCATATAATCCAACCATTTTGGTTACCTTCCCTCTTTTGTACTTTTGGGCCTCCTGGCTGCTGCGCCTGATTCCCCTCTCCCCCCTCCCCCTCCCCCTCCCCATCCCCCTCCCCCTCCCTCTTTCTACATGGCACAGCCGCTCTGGACTCTCCCAGATGCCCCTGCCTCTGGCTATGCTCTCCCATGTATTATAATAAATGTTCTTCTCCACCACACCTAGAAGCAGTTATGTTCTTCCTTATTTCTTTCATTCATCTGATTCCAAAACTCTAAACTAATCATATTTATTTTCTTTCCTTTTTATTCATTTATTCTTTCATTCAGTCTAGACGCTAAGGGAAGTGTCCTGTCCCATAATTGCACTCCCTTGCAGAAGCTCTGGACACCAACACAACCCCAAATGCAATGAACTTGAGCAAGTCCAAAGCACCCATTATAGAAGGCTTAAACTGACTGTGATTGTCAAAGACAACATACGGAGACAGATCTGGTTGCAAACTGAAGATGCTTTTGGCGATGCTACAGTTTCTCTCAAGTACAAGGTCCTTTCTTGTGGAGAAGCCTTGAAGACATAGCAGGTATCATTCTTAGCATCACAAGTCTGCCACTCCAAATGCTGAGTCTATGGCTGAGAATGTCTTACCTGCTGTCCCATCACTCCTAGGAAAGCAGGCCCTTAAGGGTGTGGGCCAAGAGCAAGGCTCATTCTTACTGGAGGCTGAGGCAGGATGGCTGTGAGTTTGAGGAGAGACTACTTCTGCCTCTCAAGTGCTGGAATTAAAGATGAGCAGCTCCAAGCCTGGCTTTGTGTTTGTTTTTTTTAAGACACAACTTTGGGTGGATGGAGAAGGAAGGGGAATCTTGGAGAGCCATGAGATGGGATAAATATGATCAGAACACATTGTACAAAGTTCCCAAAGAACTAATAAAATTATAAAATCACCAAAACAATAAATGTTTGGTGTAGAAACTGGGTAAAGCAGCAGTTTTATATCTAGGAATTGCTTCAAGGCTGGTTGGGAAGCACACATTGATATTTGTATGATTGTTTTTAGAAGTTGCTTCAAACGTTGTAAAAATGACAACAGTTTAAATATCACGAGGTTGGAATAAAGTTGATCCTAATTTACTGATGAAAAGTGGAAGCAACTGGGTGTTAAGAAAAACTGGAGCAAAGTAGAAGCTAACAGGCTGGCTTCTTGATTAAGAGTGCTAGTTGCTCTTCCAGAAGACCAGGGGCAATTCTCAGAGCATACATAAAGACGCTCACAACCATCTGTAACTCCACCCCCCCAGGGGGAGGGGCATTTAACGCCCTCTTCTGTACTCTACAGGCTGTCAGGTACCCAACTGGTGCACAGACAAAACATCCATACACTTAAAATAATCTTAAAGTCTTGAAAATTAAAGTAGAATTCTGTTTTTATTGTAAATGCTGCATATGTACACCTGTAATCATAGCAACTGGAAGACTGAGGCAGGAGGATTGTATTGGCTATAAGCCTGGGTTACATTGTGAGAGCAGCTGAAAAGAATAGAGAGAAGAGAGGGGAGGAAGAGAGACTGGTAACTAAACTGTTGGATAACCGACCGAGGGTTCTCTGGCTCTTTAGCTGGTCTGGCGCTCATTATGTGCGGGTGTATTTGCCACAGTGGTTATCCTATGGAAAGGGAAGAGCTCCGAATCTCTCTCTCGTCATTCCCATTTCACTTCAGGAAAATGAAGCCCCGCCTCACCCTTCGGATCTGTCCCGCAACTGTGAAATGACTGTGAATGTTAACCCTGCAGGCCACCGCAACCGCATTTGATGATACTTTGGTGCTCAGCCCTAGGGAGAGCAGAATGTATTGCAGAACCTTAGGGTCGCCTCACCAGAGACACAGGCAGAATCAGTTCGCCCGGGCTCTAAAGGGACCAAAGGTCCTTCTCTGATAGCCTTAGGAACTCCGGGTGGCTTCCCGTTTAACCTCGCTCTATGAATAGTAATCAAACCACTATCAGGTCCAAGGTGAGAATGAGTCTCTCCCCCTCACTCATCACAGCCTCCCCCTCCCACACCCACACCCAGCCAGGCCGCTGGCCTCGTTCCTCAAAGAACCGGAGTGATGCGGAACCTGACCAAGGTCACCAGCTTCGCCGCGGCGTTCTCCACCCTAGGTGCTTTGATCTGGGATTGTGAATGGGATTAAACGCTCATTTCTCTATATGCGTCCCTTGCCAGGGGAATAAAAATGCAGTCGGTGAGCACAAGGTACTAGTCTGGACCTAGGTTCTCAGAGCCTCTGGTCAAGGTTGCAAGCCATCTTCTGCTGGGTCTGCCGAGGAGGTGAGATATGAGGGGGCTGGCTCTAGGCCACCGAGAAATAAAAACAACAGAAAGGGCAAAAGGACTCCCGGGACCTCAGAAGGGTCAGCTCAGTTCCCTCTACTCTGGACTCGCAAGGCGTCACTTCTCGGCCTTTAGGATAACGCCCAACTTCTTTACCTGGCTCTCTGGCAAATTTGACCAAGACAAAGAACAGGCTTGGTCTCCTAGTCGCCACTGTGTGTGTGTGTGTGTGTGTGTGTGTGTGTGTGTGTGTGTTTGTGTGTGTGTGTGTGTGCGAGTGTGTGTGTGTGTTGGAGACCATGCTTGGGCAACAATTATTCAGCTCTAAGCTCGCCAATGCCAGTCCAGGGTCTGAGTGTAGGGGTTGTGCTGTAGGTGTCCTTATTGGTCGCTCTCGGCTTCCTACACCCATCCGTTTAGGGTGTAGTGAGTGCGAGGGCACAGAAGAATGTATTGCCCCCCCCCCCGTAACACTTGTTCAGTTCTCACGCCGAGACTTAGGCGTTTGTGTGCGTATGTGCATTTGCACACAGAAGGGCTTATTGTGGACACTGGGCAACATTTGCCACGCTCTGACTTCCTGACGTCGCTAGCCAGAAGCAGCAACAACGCCTGCAACAACGGTGCAAGATGGGCAATTGCACTTCACAGGATTCCAGGGAACAGGTCTAGAGAACTGTTGGCTTAAGTGGGTGATCTCTGGGGACCTAGGGAGGAATCCAAGTGCTCGCCAATGGCTGTGGTGGGCGGGGAGGAGACTATCAGAGGACCTCCACAGGCTTGATCTCTTCCACTGCCTCCCTCTTCAAGTACCCCGAGGCTGGGTCTGCACACTCCCTCTTAAAGCCCACACAGCCCTCGGGGCTTTCGGAAGTCTAGGGTCCTGAGACCCAGCTGCTGCCACCCTGGCCTTGGCCGGAGGTAGGTCTTTGGCCCGCTGAAGGGACCTACCCTGAGGGCTACAGGCTTCCAGCGCGGCCGGGAACGGTGCTGTGTAACCGCTTTTAAAGTTCGTTTTGCAGTTGTTTGGTTGTGGTTTTGTTTTTTCTTTGTTTTTGTGAGTTAGTTTGTTTTTTAAAACTCTGTAATTAGATTTTGGCTTTCCACCTCCGGAATCGCACGTCCTGAGAATTAGCCTGCGCTGTTCGGGGCTCAGGGGGAAATAAAAACAGAGAGGCCTCGTGGTGGCTGACCTCTCCTCCTGACTCTATGTTCTTTAACTTCTGAGACCCAGGTTGGTTTCCTTATTGGACACACTGATCCGAGATCTTAAGATCCCAGACCCTATGGGTCTTCACTTCTCAGCCTTGGTGAACTTGCTGTGTGACCACTGAGAAAGAAGCATTTCGGGGCCAGGGCAGCCGAGGCCGAGGTAGGGACGGCGACCACCGAGGCATGTCTCTGCTGCCTGGCCTAGGATTGTCATCACTGAGTCTCCAGAGGCGACCTAGGTTAAGTGGCTAGAGTTGCCAAGAGACTGGATATGTGGCGGGAAGGGGCACTGGACGTGGGTCTCTAGAGAGACGCGTACCGCTCCCTTCGGTGGAGTCGGCACTGCTGGACCTGCTGGCGTCTCGCTAAAGTCCTTGGGGCGCAGAGTCGGCTCAGAACCCCTTCTGCGCTGTCCCACCCAGAGCGCACACGTCTCCTAGCTCCGCTGCGGACTCAAGAGCGCCTGCTCAGGAGCCGGTACACGGTCGTGCCCTAGTAGCTCGGCTGAAGATCGCTCTTAGAGACCCAGGGGGCAGAGAGGCGTTTTGTTGACTGATAATTAAAAGAGAGACGGAATTGAAACCCGTTTTGCTGGAGCCGTTTGAGGGCTGGGGGGGGCGGGGACAATGTGGACAGCAGGTGTTGCAAACCTGCATTCCTTAGTCAAGGTGGTTTGGGGAGCAAAAGAGAAGGCGACCTGAGCCAGCACCTTCCAGTCGGGGGACGCCGAGGCAGATTTTCGTTTGAGGTTTGAGACATTTGGTTTTTTATTTTATTTTGGTTTGATTTGGTGTTGAGGTTTGTGCCTTTTGTGTTATTTTTCCTAGGTAGGGTTGGTGGGATCGAATTGGGAAGTTTGTTCATTGTCTTCGATGGGGTGGGGGAGAAGTAGTTAAGAGCATCTAGGACCCCTCACTCAGCGACCTCGGTTTCCCACAGATCTGTAAAACTCAGCTTGCGATGGCCTTTCTGCCTTCTGGTGAGACCCAGTCCCAGGACAAGGCGAACTACCTGCCCCGGAGTAGCCCCCAGAACCTGACTGCCTACTACGCGTCTGTCCCAGGCCACTTTAAGAACCTCGTCGCCACCACCGAGGAGAATGTCTGGAAACTGGCAGCTGCAGTGTCTGAGTCCCAGGCGACGGCCCCTCTCAGTGCTTTCGGGACGACTCCTCCCTTGTGGAACCCGGGTCTGCCTGTGCAGAGCACAGAGCCGCTATACAATCTGCCCTGGTACAAGTTGTCACCATGGTACCCAGTTCCCCAATTTACTCCTGAGGTACCACGATTTCTAGACAGCACTGAGCATAGGAGCAGCAGCGGTTCCAGCGGCCAAAATTTGGTCCCCGTCGGCGGCCAAATCAACAGAGACCAGTTGTGGGGAGCTGAAAATTTACTTCTGCCATCCCCGGTAATTGCTTCTCTACTACCTGATGGAATTAAGTCTTCCCAGTCAATATCTGTCCCCCAAACCTTGAACCAAGAGGGGAAACTGTCTTTTCGCGGCTTCAACTTCACAGAGGAGGAACTGCGCTTCGTTCTGTATGGAGCCATCGCTAGTCCGGAACACCCAGCTGGCCTACAGCATGCAATTTCAGGCATCCTGGCTCCCACAGAGAGTCCTGGTAAGGAAATCTACATCCTGGGTCTGGGTTGAGTGGAATGGGTCTGGGCCACACAGTATTAAAACGTGGATCTATGTTGCCTCTAAAAGAGTGTCCCTCTAAACATCCTGCTCTTGGCTCGCTTCTCGGGGTCCTCCTTGCCTAACTGTAATTCCTGAGCTTGTTTTTAGTGAGCTTTGAGAACTAAGAGCATAGCGGTTTCACTCGGTGGCTTTAGGGATGTACAAAGTATCTACATGATGGTCTCCAGAAATTCACACCTGGCAGCTCTTTACCTCAGAAAAGCATCGTCTCTGATTCTCAAGTTTGCAAAATGGAGTTCATTACCTACCAGATCTTGCCCAAAGGGTGTTCTGAGTCTCAAATGAGCAACAGTGTACAAAAAGCTTGTGTCAGACAGCGGTACCAACAGTAAAGGATAGAGGGTACACGTCAAATCTAAAGCACTCTCTAGGAACTGAGCGATCCCCCTCAGGAAGGCAACTCGTGGTATTTATTCTTAATTAGAATAATTTAAGGCTGTCTCTTTCTAGGGTCTAATCATCTTCGTAAAACACTGGACAAAGACTCCCTTCAGCTTCCGGAAGGTAGGCTGCACTCCTTGCCTGGATTTATTTCCCAGAACTAATGCTGAATCATTGCCTGGGCTCATTCTTTCCTCTCCTGCCTCGGGTTCACCTAGGTCTCTGTCTCATGCAGACAGCATTTGGCGATGCTCTGCACTTTGGCGTGTTCTGTAGCAACTTCATTGCCAAAGGAGTGAGATTTGGACCCTTTCGAGGTAAAGTGGTCAATGCCAGTGAAGTGAAGACACACAGGGACAATTCTCGGATGTGGGAAGTAAGTGTGTTTCTGGGATGATCTGCTGAAATTGGGGAGGATGACCTGAGGTTGAGGAGGCAGTACCCTCGAAGGCCTTTATCGAGAAAGACCTCCCTCTGCATGAACTCCACTTTGTAGTGGGTGAAATAACTTTAATCTGTACAGAATAGACATGGAAAGTACATTTAAAGAATTACCACTGCATGTTTTACTTACAGACAAAACCAAGTGTTTTAAATATGGTAGAGTGCTAAAAGCATGCTACAGGAAAGAAAGATACGTTTTAGACTTTCATTTTACTTTCTTGTAAAATTGACTATGGATTAACAAAACAAATAAAACCAATGCTCTCCCAGTTAGTGACTGTCTAAGGGAGGCTACTGAGATAGCAGCTTTTCATTGACAGGAACCATTTTTCAGAATGTACCAGATAACTTAAAATCTTCCAAATACCCTAACCTTGAACTTCTAGGAATAAAATTTAGGAAGATAATCTGTAATTTTGGCAATGTGGAAGACCTGAATTAAACAGTAGTTTATACTAAACTAGGTGAGACACCGAAGCTGCTACACCAGGAGGATGATACAGCAGCTCCAATGCCTCCACACTGGACAGAAGAGAACTCCCCAGCACTCTTTAAGAGCTGGGCTCAAATAAGACCTATTTACTTCCCTTACCCTTGCTTATAAAATTAACATACACTACTCGTAGAAACTCAGGGGTCAAGAATGTGATAAGGCCATAAATTCATTTTTAAAGTATGTTGTCTTGTAATCTATAGAGGAACTGGAGAAAATACCTGGCATACCTGAAATGCTGGACTCAATCCCCAGCACCGCATAACCCCATATGGTGGCACACATTGGCACTGCAGAGGTAGCAGCAGGTGTATTAGAAGTTCAAGGCCATCCTCAACTATATTTTAAATTCAAGTCCCACCTGAGCTATATGAGATATTGTCAAAAAAAAAAAAAAGTTTAGCCGGGCAGTGGTGGCGCATGCCTTTAATCCCAGCACTTGGGAGGCGGAGGCAGGTGGATTTCTGAGTTCAAGGCCAGCCTGGTCTACAGAGTGAGTTCCAGGACAGCCCGGGCTATAAAGAGAAACCCTGTCTCGAAAAAACAAAAAAAAAGTTTATATGCTACTTCTGGTATGGAAATCTGATTTATAGAATTGTGTTCTATAGTAGGAATTTGGGTATAGATTTTTAAATTTCAGCTTATAGATCAGACAAAAGGAAAACAAATCAAGAGCTCATGCCTACTGGTAGGATGGGGGATGGCAATGTGCTTGATAGTCCCTGAACTCAGGGAGCTGAGGCAAGCCTTGAGTACATAAGCAAGATCCTATTCAAACCAAAATAAGCACATTGTACTGGCTGGTTTTGTGTCAACTTGACACAAGCTGGAGTTAGAGAAAGGAGCTTCAGTCAAGGAAATGCCTCCATGAGATCCAGCTGTAAGGCATTTTCTCAATTAGTGATCAAGGTGGGAGGGCCCCTTGTGGGTGATACCATCCCTGGGCTGGTAATCTCCAGTTCTATAAAAAAGCAAGCTGAGCAAGCCAGGGGAAGCAAGCCAGTAAGTAACATCCTTCCATGGCCTCTGCTTCAGCTCCTACTTCCTGACCTGCTTGAGTTCCAGTCCTGACTTCCTTTGGTGATGAACAGCAATGTGGAAGTGTAAACTGAATAAACCCTTTCCTCCTCAACTTGCTTCTTGGTCATGATGTTTGTGTAGGAATACACACACACACACAAACCAAACTTCCTGTCTCATTTTACTTAGATTTTTGAAGATGGTCACCTGAGCCATTTTATTGATGGCAAAGCTTCTGGGAACTGGATGTCGTATGTCAACTGTGCTCGATTCCCCAAGGAGCAGAACCTGGCTGCCGTGCAGCACCAAGGGCAGATATTTTATGAGAGCTGTAAAGACATCCACCAGAACCAGGAGCTGCTTGTGTGGTATGGAAACAGCTATGAGAAGTTTCTGGACATTCCCATGAACCTCCAGGTCACTGAGCACGAAGGCAAGCAGCTGTCTGAGCCCTCTGAGGGTAAGTGTCTGCCTCTGCCCTGCCCAGTGAGAACCTATTAGAATACTAGCTGGACTCCCTAAAGGCTCCCAACTGAGATCCCAGAGACTCTGTAAGAGGTGTATCCTCACCATCTTTTCTACAGCCTCTTTTTCTAAGGTTATCCATCTTCCTCCCTACCTGTTCTTGGGAATAAAAGACATAGAATACATGCCAGCATACTGTGGGTAAGCCAGTGTGATTCATCCCTGCTCAGGCCGGCTTTCTCAAATGGTGGGCTGCAGTAACTTAGTGGGGTGGAAAATCAATTTAGTGATTGAAATTAGCATTAAAGAAAAAAATTAGAATAGAAAATATTGAAGAGAATCACTTAAGAAACAACGCAAGGCATCTAGTTAAAACTATTTCTCCCTGGCTGAGGCGGCTTCTTTCATATTCAAGTACTCTACCCTTGAGCTACATACACTTCCAGCCTCTAAACTGGGTGTGTTTGTACATACCTTTAATCCCAGCACTTGGGAGGGAGAGGCAGGCAGACCTCTGTGTTTGAAGCCAGCCTGGTCTAACGGAGTGTCAAGTTACTGTGTAGTCACACAGTGAGACTGTGCCTCAGGCAAAACAAGACAAATATCTCACTACTTCCAGCCCCTAACATAAGGTTTAATTGTGGCAAATCTGAAAAATGTTGGACTATGCTTCAGCTTTCAACACTCGTCCCTGCTTTTCTTCTTTTTTTCCTCTTCTTTTCCTTTTCTTTTTCTCCCCCTAACCCCCCTAGACAGGCCTTGAACTCAGAACCTTCTGCCCCAGCTTTCCAAGTGCTCCTGACTGTTGAACCATGTGTGTCTCTGTGTGCGTATACGTGTGTGTGTGTGTGTGTGTGTGTTTGTATACACCTGGACTGGAGATCTTATAGAGAGGCTAGCTAGTCCTAATCACAGGTGGGGCTGAGACTATGCATCTTGCTCAGCTTCCATGGGTTGCTGTTGGTCCCTGGATGATCACATCTGAGTGGCTAGAAGATAGAGGACAACCAACTCACCACAGGATTAGGTCTTCAGATGTGGTGGTTTTAAGGAAAGAGTGGTCCTGAGCACTCAGACTGCTAGAATCTCCAGGCTTGCATCTTTTTTATTTTTATTCTTTTCTTTCTTTCTTCTTTTTTTTTCTCTGTTCCCTGTCTCAAGCAGTCCAGGATGGATGGCTGAACTGGTCTTCCTTCCTACTTCCAACCCTCAACCAAATGCTAGGATTATAAACATGTAAAACCATACCCAGCTTTGAATTCTTATTTATTTATGTAGGTCTTTTTGATATCTGGTTTCACTAAGTAACTGGCTGTTCTGAAACTCACTGTGTAGACAAAGTTGGACTCGTGAGTTCAAGTCCTCTGCCCCCTGGATGCTGAGATTTAAAGTGTGTACCATCACACGCAGCTTGAAATTTATTCCTAAATATTACCCGTCCAACTGGTTTTTATACACAAGCATTTGGAAACTACTGACCCAGAAGGTGAGGAAAAATATAAACTACTGTGCATATAGAAAGGTATAGAAAGAGTGGTCTGGGTGAAGATGATCAGAGAGGTTATGGGGAGGAAGGGAGGGAAGGCCTCTGACTCCTCCAGCAGGTGCATGGAGCAGAAACGGCTGCAGAAGACCGCATGAATCTCTGTGGTCTCAGGATGTCATCCCTAGCACCTAACCAAGAATGACTGTCTTGGTCACTTCCAGAAAATGCTTCATCTGTTTTTGACATACAAGTGGAAAATGAGATTCGGGGGCAAAAATATACTTAGTGAATGCTTTGTGGGAAATTTATGGAGAAAAAGTCCAAAGTGTCTTGTGGTCCATGCCTGTGATCCTAGCAGACACAGGAGGATTATTACAAGTGTGAGGTCAATCTGGCCGCAGAGTGAGACCCTGTCTCAAAATAACAACAACAAAGTCTGCCTGCTTCTGCCTCCTGGGTGCTGGATTGAAAGTATTTGCACCACACCCCACCCATGGTGCTATCTTGGACAAGATGTGAAAGGCAGATTTGAAAAGATTAATTTATTGAGAAGTCTTACAAGTGACTTCCTATGATGACTGTTAATATGAGTGTCTAGTTTTATTCCATTGCTGTCGTGGGGATTAAATCGAATCCAGGGCCTGAAGCCTGCCAGGCAAGCTCTCTGCCACTGATCCATTCACACCCCAGCCCAAGATCAATGTTTTTGGAGATGATTAATAATAAAAGCATAGTGGTGCATGTGTTAATTTTGATACTTGTGAGGTTGAAGAAGAATAATTTTAAGTTCAAATCTACTCAGGGAGATCCTACATCCAACAAAAATCCAATTCCTTTCTCAAAGGTATTTTGGTAGGGTTGGTGGGTGCCTCCCATATAAGGTGTAGGGTTGGAAAGTCATGTTCTTGGCTTATTGTAAGTGGGCTATTTGAATAGACCAGGTGTGCCTGGGGAGAAACGGAAGACAGCTGCATCGCTAAAACTCCAGCATAGGTGACAGACTTACCTTTCTGTGCTTGCCTTCTGACACTCAGTGACCTATCATTCCTGTGAGTCAGACTCAGTAATAATCAATGCCTGTGAACTAATGAAGGCACAGTGCATTCATTGTCTGAATGTGTATGTAGTCCAGGCTAACCTCAAACTCCCTATGGAGCCAAAGATGACCTTATACTCCTGATTTTTCAGCCCAGGTTCACAGGTGTGTTCCACCACACCAGCTATGGTGTGTGTCTGTTTATGGCTTTTTTTGAATTCTGTTTGAGGTGGTGAAGAGGAGGGACAGAGGTTAACACACCCTCTGGCACTAAACACCCCTGTGTTTGACAGAGTCCACAGAAGGTTACAGATGCGAACGCTGTGGAAAGGTGTTTACCTACAAGTACTACAGAGATAAGCACCTCAAGTACACTCCCTGTGTGGATAAGGGGGATAGGAAGTTTCCATGTTCTCTCTGCCAAAGATCCTTTGAAAAGCGTGACCGACTCCGGATCCACGTTCTTCATGTCCATGAAAGGCACCGGCCCTACCTGGTGAGCAGTTTGTGGTTTGATGTCCTTCTTCCTAGTCTGTTTTCACACTCCCCTGTCCTGACCACATAGAGAGGGGCTCATGAGACTGACTGGAGGATTCTCTGCTTGCCATGCCATGGCAGTGAGGAAGAGGCACATGTGTGGGCATGAACATATGTCAAGATCTGTGGCCGGGAAAAAGGGGGGACAGAAGTAGGAGTGGGCTTCTGGGCTAGGAAAGGTGCTCAGCCTCAGGGTGAAGACTAGATCACAACAGTGAGTTGTACTGGAAGCTGGGAAGGGATCAGGCATTAGATAGTCATGGGTGCAGAGGAAATATTGAAATGGTCCAAAGAAAGGAAGACTACATCACAGTCCATGGTCTTTATAAGGATGAGAGACAACAGTGATGCCAGAGAGCCGTTCTCTGCCAGACTTGGTCAAAAGGGCAAAACAAAGTTTGTCCTAAAGAGACAAGATGGGGTTCCATGTTTTTGTTGTCTGAACACAAGAGGCATCTGTCCACCTAAGCTGATCAAAGAATGCCTCACCTTGAATTTCCTGTGATTTTTCCATGACAGTCATGTCCAGAGAGTTCATGACTCTGGTTTTATTTTTTTGTTTTGTTTTGTTTTGTTTTTTGTTTTTTTGGTTTTTCGAGACAGGGTTTCTCTGTGTAGCCCTGGCTGTCCTGGAACTCACTCTGTAGACCAGGCTAGCCTCAAACTCAGAAATCCGCCTGTCTCTGCCTCCCAAGTGCTGGGATTAAAGGCATTTTATTTGTTTTTAAAGTCAGTACTTTATAAGGAGAAGACTGAAGAGAAACAGACATACAGAACTTTGGATATCTGGTCTGGTTTCGCTTTGGGTACAAGTGGTTGAACACAGTTTGAACATACACTGAACAAGCGCTCGACCACTGAGCAACAGCCATGGACCAACATCAAATGATGTTGGGTACACACTTGACAACTCCATCCTGCCGGCTGTGGGAGTTCTGTAATCTCTTTGCTTAGGAAGGTCTGAGGCAGCTTCTAGGCTGGCTTGTGCTATGTAATCTCAGGCAAGCCTTGGCACACTCAGCCAGTGGCTTGTTGGTCCACAGATGCACATGGAATAGAGAGTTCTCAGGCTGTCAGTGTAGCTCTTGTGTTAAAATGCTTGCCCTGAAAGGCTGACAACATGAGCTTGTTTCCGGGAACAAACTCAGGAGTCGACAAATTCCAAAGTGTTTTTCTGATGATCTTCACATGTATGCCATGATCACGTGCCTATGCACACACTCATAATAATGTTAGGAAAATCTTAGCCAGACGTGGACATGGGAGTGAGAGGCAGGCAGATCTGTAAGTTTGAGGCATGTATCCCTGGTCTCCACAGAGAGAGGTCCAGGACAGCCAGGGCTACATAGATCCTTTCTCTAAGCAAACAAGTAAACAAATTATGGAATTTTTAAAAACTTCTCTCACCCCCAGGAAAATATATGTTGAGACATAATTTGGGGGAGAAGATAAAATTTCAACTCTGTTTTGTTATCTCCTAGTGTTCAACATGTGGGAAAAGCTTCTCTCAGTCTTCCAGCCTGAACAAGCACATGCGAGTCCACTCCGGAGACAGGCCATACCAGTGTGTGTACTGTACAAAGGTAGGTGAGACCTCCTTTGGTGCCAGCCATCTGTAACTAGAAGAGTGAAGCTCGACTTCATCTTGGGTAACTAACTGATTACCAATCAGCCAATGCACTTTTTCCGTGAATTCTAGACCAGCTAGGACTACAGAGTGAAACCGTGTTTCAAAATGAATAACTTTTTTAAAAAGAGAATTTAAGGTGGGCAGTGGTGGCGCATGCCTTTAATCCCAGCACTTGGGAGGCAGAGGCAGGCGGTTTTCTGAGTTTGAGGCCAGCCTGGTCTACCGAATGAGTTCCAGGACAGCCAGGGCTACACAGAGAAACCCTGTCTCAGAGAGAGAGAGAGAGAGAGAGAGAGAGAGAATGAGAGAATTTAAGAGCACAGTCTTAGCCAGCATTCAGGCTTGACCTTTGACCTTTGTAGTAGTTGGGTTAGTTGGGTTTTATCAGTCGGTCTGTATAAAACTTCATCACTGTGTCTGCCAGTTGTAACCACTGAAAGTGTTAGTTACTCCTCATGCTGCTAATCATTCTAAAGGCATATTTATGAGGGTACCATCTGATTCGTGCACTGTAGAATATCCATCAGCAGAGATAGAGAGGAATTAAGGCTTTTCTGAAAAACACAATTCATTGATCATGTTTCAGGAATATTCTAAGGGATCTCTCATTTTAATTTGGTGATGTGCAATGCTGTCCAGTTTGTAGCTATTTCCATATGTGGCTGTTTGAAAGCACAGAAGTGAAAAGACCCAGATACAGTGAAGCCTGGCTGCAATCTCAGGTTGAGGTGGGAAGATTATGAGTTCAAGGCCAGCCTGGGCTGTACAGCGTGATCCCAGCCAACCAAGGAAGGGGAATAGAAAATGTGTTTCCTGATTTCACTAGCCAAACTTTGTGCCCTGAAGCCTCAAGGACAAGGTGGACAGCACAGCTGCAGAGCATGCAGTCCTCTGGGCTTGTTTGTCTCCCTTGGCATCATCCTTGTATCTTATAGTAATGCCAGAAAGGGAGAAGAGTGGATCTTAGACTTCCAAACTCCCCTGAGAGGAAGAAAAAAAAAAAAAGGCATTCTGCTTAGTCAGGCACATGCCTGTAACCCCCACCATGTAAGAAGTAGAGGCAAGAGGTTTGGGTATTCAAGGTTAGTCTCTGCTACCCAGTGAGTCTAAGGTCAGTCCAGGTTACCTTAGGTGGCCAGTGAGATGGCACAGTGGGTAAAAGTGCCTCTTGCCAAGTCTTCTAACAACCTGAGTTTGATTCCTGGCACCCATGTGGTAGAAAAAGAGAAGCAAGGTTGTCTTTTATTAAACCTATTCCCCGTAACAAATAATTTTTAAGAATAAAACTAATTCCTGCAGGTTGTCCTCTGACATGTATGTATACACTAGTGTGTATACTGTACACACACACACACACAACGGTAAAAGCAAACAAACAGAAACCAAAACCATACACATACACTAGGCATCTTGAGACCCTCAACTCAAAAAAACCAAACATCGTAACAGCAAAGAAACATCATGACGCCAATCTGAAAACAACCCCATCTCCTTCAGTGGATGACAGGTGTGACAGTCTAGGACGTGTCCATTTTCTGTTGCATTTCACAAAGCAAGGAAAAAGGAATGAAACTGTTGATAAACATACTTGATGGTCTGAGGGTTATGCTGAGTGGGAAAAATGAGTCCTGGAAGATCACATCCCCTCATGCACTTCACGCCGAGATTTTGAGATGGAGAACGCATCTCTGGTTGTCTGAAGAAACATCTGTGGGAAAGGAAAGGACCTCTCTGGCTGCAAAGGGCAAAAGGAAGATTCTTGGGATGAAAATGCAGTCTTCTGCCAGGCAGTGGTGGCACATGCCTTTAATCCCAGCACTTGGGAAGCAGAGGCAGGCAGATTTCTGAGTTTGAGGCCAGTGGTCTACACAGTGAGTTCCAGGACAGCCAGGGCTACACAGAGAAACCTTGTCTTGAAAAACCAAAAAAAGAAAAAAAGAAAATGCAGTCTTCTTTATTTAATGTTAATTTATTTAAATGTTATGGGTGTTTTGCCTGCATGCATGTCTGTGTACCACATGCATGTCTGATGTCAGCGGAGGCCAGAAGTCGTCAGCTACTCTGGAACCTAGGTTGCAGATGGATGTGAGCACTGAGAATCAAACCCAGGTCCTCAGGAACAGCAGCTAGCACTCTTAACCATCCACCACCAAGCGGTTCTAGCTTGCCCTACACACACACACACACACATGCACACACGCACACATGCATGCACACACACACGTGCGCTCACACTCTCTGAGGCAAAGTCTCATGTAGTACAGGTGGGGCTCAAATTCATATGCATCTGAGACAAGCCTTCCACTTTCATTCGCCTTTCTTTACTAGGAGTGCTAGGGTGACAGGTGACTGCCAACACACTGGCGCCTATCAGTGTCAACATGTTTCTTATGAATTGAAAGATGTAAGCAAGCCGAGTGGTGGTGGTGCATACCTTTAATCCCAGCACTTGGGAGGCAGAGGCAGGTGGATTTCTGAGTTCGAGGCCAGCCGGGTCTACAGAGTGACTTTCAGGACAGCCAGGGCTACACAGAGAAACCCTGTCTTGAAAAACAAAACAAACAAACAAACAAAAAAAAGGTGATACGTCCATTACAATGAAAATTAACCCCTTGCTGAGTTGTATAGCCTGTGGAAGTTGCTTTTTCTGCTTTCTGCCCTCTGCAGAAGTTCACTGCTTCCAGCATACTCCGAACACACATTAGACAGCACTCCGGAGAGAAGCCCTTCAAGTGCAAGCATTGTGGTAAAGCTTTTGCATCCCATGCTGCCCATGACAGCCATGTCCGGCGCTCACACAAGGAGGATGGCCGTAGCTCCTGCAATGTTTGTGGGAAAGGCTTCCTGGATCAAGAGGCTTTCTATGCCCACATGAAGCTTCATAAAACCTGCTAGCTCTTTGAGAGCAAAGCCAGTTGAAAACCAAGAACTCTGACTGTAATTCCTGGTTTGCCTGTGTCACATGGACATGGTTGAAGTGTTCAGTGAGAATCTGAAGAACGGAGTAGTTGATCTGAAACTCCAGAACTTATGGAATCCTTTCTGAGCAGGACTGGGTGTAAAGTCCTGGATCCTGTGATGATAAAAGAAGAAAGACTCCTCCTCTCCTTTCCTGTCAGTCCTTTAACACCAGTTATACCATGTCTGTAGCCAGAGGCCTCTGCTTCCTTCAGAGCAATAACTTTGTTTAAAGCTTTAATTTTATTTTATGTGCATGAGTGTTTTGCCGTGTATGTGTTTATGTGCTGCATGCCTAGTGCATGTGAAGGACAAAGGAAGACATCAGATCCTCTGGAACTGTTCATGGATAGCTGTAAGCCATCCTGTGGATACTGGGAATTCAACCCAGATCCTCTACAAGTCCTGCCAGGACTCTTAACTGCTAAACCATCTTGCCAGTTCCTGCTTTCTATTTTTTGTTTTTGGTGGTGTTGTTTTGGCCTCTCCATCACCACTCCTCTCTTTCCCTCTCTCTCCCACTCCCAAGCTGGCTTTAAATTTGTCATATAACTGATGATGACTTTGAATTACAGGATTAAGTTACTACATCCAAACGATTTGCCCTACCTAGAGATTTGGCATGTTATAACTGAGTCTTCTGCCGTGTATTAATGTTCCGTCTTAATTTGGGCTCATTTCTCTCCCCACTGAGCAATCAAAATCCCAGGTAATACATTGAGTACCAGACAAAAGCACTTCCAGGGCACGAAGACTGGTAATTCTTGTTGGTGTCTAAGTTTTACCAACTGGAAAAGAAAATTATGTCTGAATGAAGAAAGACTGAAAATAAACATTTATGCTACTCTAGTTTTAAAGCGGATTCCTTTTTTCTTTCCTTTTTAATCTTTTTTTTAAGCAACTTATTTATTTTTATTTTATGTGCATTGGTGTTTTGTCTGTGTCAAGGGGTGTTTGGAGGTGTCAGATACTAGAGTTACAGACAGTTGTGAGCTGCCATGTGGGTGCTGGGAATTGAACTCAGGTCCTCTGGAAGAGCAGTCAGTGCTCTTAACCACTGAGCCATCTCTCCAGCCCCCTTTTTAATCTTCTATATTTACTTATTTATTTTGGTTTTTCAAAACAGGATTTCTCTGTGTAGTCCTGGCCATCCTGAAACTCTGTGGACTAGGATGGTCTAGAACTCACAAGAGATCCACCTTCCTCTGCCTTCTGAGTGCTGGGATTAAAGATGTGTGCCGCCACTTCCTGGCTCTTCTCTTTCCTTTTAAAACATTTTTATTTCTAATATTGATGAATAAAGTATATTTTCCCCAACTCTTTGTAATTGGGTGGCTCCTGGTAATACAGGGAGGAACAAAGGGGGAAAAGCTAATTGCTAAGTGTGGTAACTCCCACCTGGAATTCTGGCAGTTAGGAAACTGAGGCAGGAGAACCACCTTGACTACAGGGCAATCCTGGACTACAGAGTGCGACCTCGTTTAAAAAAACAAGAAAGAGCCGGGCGGCGGTGGTGCACTCCTTTAATCCTAGCACTTGGGAGGCAGAGGCAGGCGGATTTCTGAGTTCGAGGCCAGCCTGGTCTACAGAGTGAGTTCCAGGACAGCCAGGGCTACACAGAGAAACCCTGTCTCGAAAAACCATAAAAGAAAGAAAGAAAGAAAGAAAGAAAGAAAGAAAGAAAGAAAGAAAGAAAGAAAGAAAAGAAAATGGACAAGGTATCTCAAGGCCTGTGTGAGTGACGGGTCTACATGGCTAATGTGGAGATGAACCTGTCCCAGGTCGGTGATCACAGACCACTCGGACTGAGTCTTACCTGTTTCAAATAGTATAGCACTGCATCTGCCCCACTGCAGATGAGACCTGAAGACAATGGTAGGAGGTCGTTTGCTTCTGAGAGGTAAAGCCAAGCCTCCCTCCCCTTCAAAGGCCAGACTCTTTCAAGAAATCACCACAGCATTGTTGGACCCTGCTTCTGGAGGAACCTTGCCCTACTAAACACCCATTAATATTCATATAGCAAGTCAAACCAGAGTAAGCCAGGTGGAAGTGCTCCCTGGATAACCCTAACCACTAGGGATGTGTCCTACCCCTGCTCCGGGAGCTATTGACCGCCTAAACACTTGCTTCACCTCTACCCATAACGCACGTCCATCAGGGCAGCAAATTCAATATGGAGCAGATGTCTGCAGAGGGCTCCCAGCTATAGTGGAGCCCCCTGTGCGAGCAATAGATGTCTCACAGGTGAGCAGCCATGACAGATTTTCCTCTGGGGAATTCTTCGCTGCCTTGACTAGGGCTGAGTAATTGACCCTAATGGGAATGGGCCCTGTTGTTTTAGGACTGTTTTAATTCATGTTAATTAACTCAGAACAATGGTCTTTTGAGAAGGTCCTGGCCTCCTCATGTAATTAAGCAGCCTTCCTTGGCTGCTAGCTCCAAATATATTGCTTAAAACATTTTCTTACTATTTAGGGGTTTAAACATTATTTTTAATTCAAACAGTAAGACAACTCAATGATCTTCATTTTTTTCACTCACTGGATAAATCAAATGATGTGTTTTGTTTTTGCGCTTGATTAGCAGAAAGGAGTTCACTGTTGTGTGTTTCCAATTGTCACTGTGCATGCATGCCAAATATACTGGGTTCTGTTCCGCTTCATCCTACACTAACTGGGCATTTTAAGAGCCGTTTCTTTCAGATTGGCTCCTCTGAGAAGTTTTGGCCCAACACACGTCAGTTTGGAGGACATAGCTTCTTGAGTTGTTTGCTGAAATGCTTAGTTTACTTCTTTAGAAGTTGTACTTCACTCTCCTCAAACAGTGAGCTGATCCTGCTGATAACAATGAGAAGACAAAGAATAGACCTCAAAAGCAGCTCATTGAAAACAGAATTTAAAAGATGCAGTGGAATTACAACTGTGAGCTGATACAGTCCCAATAGCTTAAAAAATATACTTTAGAGATGGACAAGGTTACATTTGTTCACCAACTCCTCAGTGTAGTGCACAGGGCAAGTAGTTTGATGCCTGAGGCTTAAGGTCCTCATCTATAATATGGTACAGTAATTATACCATCAAGTATTAGAAGAATTAAATGATAGTATATATATTATACACACACACACACACACACACACACAC